TCGTAAGAATACATGTTGTTGTCTTTTATACTCGTCCATTGTAAGAAACTTTTCTTGTTCAGCATGAAATAACCTTAGAACATCTCCTCCTTTCAACACATCATCTTGATTGTCTCTGTGTTCCATAAATAAAGTGACCTTCCACGACTGCTGTTGATACTGTTGGATTTGTTGATTGTTTCCATGTTGAACATGATGATGGATGGATGAGCCTGTGGCAGCATTGACAACATTTACCTAAATTGCATAAAATTATAATATTGTGTGTATAATAATTGTACTATAAAAATATTGAAGTACTCTATTTTTTATACATATTATATTATATTACCACATAAATGATTTTTGTAATAGATAAGTGATCAGATAATTTTTTTTAACTGACTAGTATCAGAAAATGAAAATATTATAATATTTATTTTTTAGTTATTATTTACCTATAATTGATTTAACATATATAATACAAATATTTTTAAGCAATTGAGAATAAATAAAATAAAATTGAAAAAAAAATTTATAAAGCTTCATTATGTTTGACAAGTAATTAATTTATGAAAATTTAAAATGTATACTAACAACATAATCAAATTTATTTATTTTGATTGTTGAAAACTAATGCTTATTTCTCTAAGAATATTGATGACCAAACCTAGAGTTTTAAATAAAATAATAAGAATAAATGTATTTACTAAAAAGAATAATTTTTTTTTTATATAAACTTTTAACCATATTGGTTCATAAATAATAAAAAATCTATCATAAAAGTACACTTTTTAATACTTATTCAAATAAGTATTTATCTTAATATTATTTAAGTTAAACCCTAACCAAATATGTTGTGGTTTAAACAACAACAATTTTTTTAATTTTGATAACATTTATACATTCTAGTAATGGTTATTTTCTAAAAATGTTGATGGTTTAATTAATTTTATTTATTCTGATTATATTATTTGATATGAACAGAGTCACAACTAGCAGGAGTGAGGTGAATTGCATTCTCAAAAAGACCTTATAATTTTATAAGAAGGCCTCCAAGACTTGGACTTTAAATTATATTAATTTATTTAAAATTTGATCTGTACCTAGACCCTCGAAATCCTAGTTGAGGCACTGAGTATGATCATCTAAAGTTTAGTAAATTTATTTAAGATATTTTTAATTATAATTAAAAATTACATAGCTGTTTTATTTTCATGTTATGGTGTGAAAAATACCAAAAATAGCTTAAATACCTATTAATTATTATTTATTGTAATTCTATGTTTGAATTTATCAATCTAACTGTTGTGTTTTTATTGTAAATGAAGTAAAAAATATTTAATTATCTATAGATAATATTATGAATTTTATATTACACAAATAGCATACAATAATTGTTTAGGCTATCTTGTCGTATGCGTTCTACCGTAGATCGCGGTCTACCTGCAATTACGGCACGCTTGTTGTATACGCTCTACTACCCAATTTATCTTTACTATCGTGACTTAATGCTAATAAAGATTATCACTTTCTTTTACTGCATGATATAATTTTTGATTGTGTATTTAGTTATTGGCCGACAGTTCTTGAGTTTACACGGTTTTTATTTTCACTTTTCAATATGCTTGCAAAAGAATTTTATACCATAATTCAAACGAAGAATCAGCTACTAATTTTTTTAATTTCTAAAAATCTTTTAGTAAATGTAGAAAATATATTGTGCGATAAATGTATATATAATCTATAAATTGTAATCGTAATCCGTGCCGGCCCAGTTAATATTATCTTCAAAATTATCTAAACTGCGATGTTTGATGGAATAAAATAAATCTAAAAATACGGTTTCCAAATATTCCTATAGTTCGGCTTATTTGTATATAAAATTAATGCTTGTACCTATCACCTGTATATATATATATATATATATATATGGTGTAATAAAAATAATAATTACTTATATTACTTACAATTAGAGTGGTAAAAACGGTAGAGCGCATACTGCAGTTGTAATGTCGCCGGTAGAGCTCATACAAGATAGCCATTGTTTATAATAATAAAACATCATTTAACAACAATATTAAACATGTCATTACGTACACACATTAAGTGATATAATAACCGTTTAAATATGGAAATATAATATGAAGACAAAAATATAACTGACCTCTTTGCAGCCTGGATTGTCCGGAAGCTCATAATTTCCAGCAACGTGCAATGCAACTTGTTGTTGTTGATTATAGTAGCCACCACCTCCAAAGCCGCTACTGCCAAATGAACCAACACCACTGAATCCACCTCCTCCACTAAATCCACTGCTTCTGCCAAAGCCAAATCCCATTGTACTACCCATGGAATCTCCTAAAGCAGGTGTACCGAGTGACACGCCACTACCGCCCACACAGGCAGGCACCATGGTAACCTTATCTCCGAGAACAACATTATCACCAGTGGAACGCAGCTTATAAAATGGCATCACATACCACCATGAACCCTCATTACCATTTGCATCAAGGTAAACACGCATAGCGTTTTTTTCTAACAGGGCAGGTAGGCGTTTGTTCACAGTCAAGTATTTATTGGATTTCAAGTGTAATAGCTGTAATGATCAAAATGATTGTAAAAATAACTAAGTAAAAATTGAAATAAATTAATATTGTAATATTGTTGTAGTGTACCTGTACAACTGTGCCATACTGGATTACAGTCCCCAACAATTTACGGTTTTCTAACTCATTCTGACGCTTCTCAATCTCAGCAGCATGCTAAAAAGTGTGGCAGTAAAATTTAATGTTCAAAACAGAAAATAATATGTGTTTTAGCAAAATGTATAATTTTTGAATTTATATATTCTATGACACTATGTAAAAAAGTAAAATAATGTAACATTTCATAAAAATATATCTTATTTAAAAAAATAATTCTCAGATTTAATAACATGTAAAAATAATCTAATTTAAACATACTACATTTACAAATTTATTATTTAATGTTTCATATATCAGTAATTTGTATAAATGAACATTTAACCTGGATTTAACATCTAAAATATTATATTCATATCAATAAAACTCACTAAGAATTTAAATAAATAAAAATGCAACCATTATTCATTTTGTGCCAACATATACAGTAATCTATATATTAAAGTCTATTATTATGTATAGTTTAATAGTAATACCATAATCATACTCTTACTTACTAATAAACTTATTAAATGTGTAAAAGATACTTACATGTAGTCGTTTAATCAAGACAGTATCTGTAGCTATCGGAGGTCCTACTATTGTCGTTGATCCCAATGGTCCTATTCCAGGCGGAAATCCATTACCACCCAAACGCTGATGCTGTTGGAGCTGTTGTTGTTTAGCTGCTTTCCAAAATTGCTTTTGTGCTGAATACCGATTCATTGGACACATCATAAAAAGGCAATCTAGCGGAAAAATATTAAAAAAAAAACCTCATATAAATATCATTCATTAAGACACAAATATTATTGTATTATTATTATACTATATATTTATATATATACACACCACGGAACTTTTTAGGTGGATTATTTAGATCACCTGCTTCAGGACAAACAACAGCTCTATCATCCACCAAACTATTAATGAAAAAAAAAAAATTACTATAATGTACAGTAATATAAGTACTAAAATATAATATTTATAATTACCCTAAGGTGCTAAGAAAGCCTGATACACTGCCTTCTGAGTAAAGCGATACTACATCACCCAAGTGTAGAAAGCTACTGGCAGCTGAGGAGGATGAAGATGCAGCCGCTGCTGCTGCAGATGAAGCAGCAGCTGCAGCCGCAGCAGCCGCTGCAGCTGCAGCAGCGGCTGATGACTGGTGTCCGCCACCACCTCCTGGTGAAATCATCATCTTAGTGATTTGTTTATGTTATCTATAATTTTTGAACATGTGTTATGTGCTATCCACTTCTAATTGAACTGAAGATGAAATAATCCATGATAGTCTGCACTTGGTAATAGGCACTATATAATAAATAGAAAACACATAAATTATTGTTGTTTTCTTATCAAAACCATACACTATAACCCTAATCAATAGATCATTGTATACCAATCAGAGCAATTTAATCTATAATTGGTTGGGAGAAAAATGAGTATACAAAAATGGAGTGAAAGTTGGAAACACAACAGTGTATTATTAATAATTGAATTACACACTGAACATCAATGCAAACTAAGTCTGCAAACGCCCAAATTGAAAGTTAATTTTTCTTGTGACCATACGGGTCTTAAAATAATTGCATGGAGGATATATTACTATAATAGGAATATGATTAATTGCTTATGAATTTGTAGTTACCTGTGCGCGGAAAAATACAGATCAAAAAGGAAACCGTAAGGTATCGAAATCGAAGGGTATTTCGATTAATATTGTCGTACAAAGGCGACGTGTGACGAGTGATTTTCAGTATCGATAATATTCGCTTTGTTTTTTATTTCGTCGGAAGCGTAAGACCAGCACAAAAAGTCCGATCCAAAGTCCATAGACGAGCCAGCAAGCGCGCACGTGAGCACGGTGCTAAGACGAGCGACCGCGGCACCACCACCTGCGAACTCAAGACTGACCAACAAGACCGTCTGCAGCTGACGTCGACGTCGTAAGCAGTTATGGTCCGAAAAACTTCAATATTCGACGTGTGGAAAACGGACGCGAAAATCACCACGGGTGTTGTACAATTATTATTGTAACTGCCGCAGTCTTAATACGACTAAATTTAATTAAGACTCACGCACACACTCGAACAAAGTAACACACACACATACACGTACACACACACTCACACACAGACACACATGCACACATATAAACGAAGTAGTACGAATCCGACGTATTAAAATCACGTTGACGGTGAGCTTAATATGCGAGCCGTCAAAACCGACGACAGTATTAGTTATATTTTATATTAGGCGTTATTATTATTGTTATGATGCACGTAATAATTACATGTAAATAGTATATATATATTTATCTTTATTTGCATATGTGTGCGTGTATGTGATATCAGATGCCAATCGCTCGCCGACTTTATCAGGTCCGCGGTGGCCCTACGGTAAGCGGCTACCGCTGAGTCGGCGACGTGGTTATCAATAGCTACTGTTATCATTCACGATATTGACCTACATACCTTTACTAATATTATTATTATTATTATAATTCGTTACTCCGTTTTTATCACCGCCGACTGCCGAGCACGGATTGACGGACGGATGGACTGCAGCCGCAGATCGCAGGACGAGCACGGAGCGATCTATCTCGCGGTTCGGAGCGTAAAATTCAAAAAGAAACTCTCGTGACGGTCACGACCAAACACAATGATCTTGTACGTCGTTGCGGCTGTGGTAACAATGACATTGATGTTTGTTTATTTGCTATACGAGCAGCCGACAAGGACGATGACGGCGACGACGACGAGTCGTACAAACAAACCGGTCAACATAAGTCACGTTATGTAAGTGTAAACCGTGTGTGAGAGTGCGCGTAGCCCATCCAAAATTGAAAAACTAACATTTAGTGCGGGCTATTTGAGATAATCTGGGATTGGGTTTTGCGTAAGCGTGGCGTCTGTTTGTTTGTTCGCCTGTTAACGCGCGTTATCTGAAAAGTTAAAGGTCGACGAGTTATTTATGACGGCGCGATACGAGTTTGGGTACACACAGTGTCTCGTCCATTACCTACCGCCGCCGCCGCCTCTGCCTCCGACTCGATGTACACGAAAATAACAGAGCAGTAATCAGCTAACCACGACATTATGTACATGAGCGATAATGGCGTTATCTCTTGTCCTTTGTAACATCGCATTAATAGTGTATAATATAATAATAATGAGAAAAATTCGTCATAATAATATTATATAGGTGTAAAAGATATTATGTGTAATAATATATCACATTGTTATCATATTATATCAACACCGTTAACCTGTGGCGTGATAACGCCGTTGCAATCGCGGTTGTAGTGGTATCGAGCGGGGGTTATGCGTGGAGGTGATCACTGTTTGGTGGAGGTTGTAACGTCCGAGTTGGCGGCACCGCTGTACCGTACCGGCGCGGCGGTCACTATCGATCATTTTATCGTTTACTATCGAATACAATTCGATAATTTTCACGAACAATGTTGACGATTTTAATTAAACATTACCAGTGGCGCCAAACCTATACACGAATTAAAACGATCGCTTCATATAATAAAGAGGGTGGATAATTTTATTTGTATATGTGTTTTGGTTTTTACATGATACAAAACCTATACTAAATAATTAAATAAACAACTAAAGTTTTACCAAACCTATACACGAACTAAAGCGATCGCTTCATATAATAAAGAGGGTGTATAATTTTATTTGTATATGTGTTTTGGTTTTTACATGATACAATACCTGTACTAAATAATTAAATAAACAACTAAAGTTTTTAGTTATTAGAGGTAGACAACATATTATTTTTTAATCCAAATACCAAAATATTTTGATTTTGCTTCACTTAAATTTATGTAATTCGGCGCCACTGAACATTACGATTTGATTTTAAGTATCAGCGTTTACAGTGTTTAAGTGTCATCTAAATTTTTAAAAATTGACCATAGAAATTCGAATGCGTTAACATAGGTATATTATATGAATAGACTTTTTTTGATCGAAACACATTATTTATAATTAGAGTTACCAACGGATAAAAATAATAATAATAATAATAATAATAATAATAATACACTGATATCGTTCGTCGCTTTTAGACTATCGAATTTTTCTGTTTGTACTTCTTATCGAAATTTTCGATAGAACGATTCGATTGTGCCCATGTCATGTTGCTAGTCGGGTGAAAGTTTGCCGACAGCAGTCATTCGAATTTTGCACTCCGGTGTGATACGTCGTGCATTTCTTTTATTCTTTCCTCGTGTACGTAATTTTTCCCTCCGAAATTATTTACACGCTCTAACCATTTATTTTAAATTTTTCTCATAGTTTTTTGTTTTCATTCGTGTGATTGCTAATGCAGTCTTATAATTAATTTCTGTCCCGACCACAATCTACCCTGGAAAGTGTCGTATCACTCGATCGTATCGTAATTTTACGATTACACTTTGGTATCGTTTCTTTTCGTGGATTTTGGTCATCAATTTAAATTTTCCATATTTTTCCTCTGCCAGGGCGCTACTTCGCGCCATATTCAGTGGCTTGTTCTCGGACCACGCACGCCTTTCCCGATTATCCACCAACCGACGACGTCGCACAAATACCAGCTGTTCTTTTACGCAGGCACTCGTGTTGAAAATTTCATCGGACATCATTTTTAAACTTTGATACTAATTACTAAAAATATCACCACCGTCACCATCACTAATACCGATACTACACACTAAATATCACCAATAGGTAACTATTATTTAGATACCGAAATAAAACCGTTTCGTATTACTATAATAGGCACAAAATACCTAAAGACGGGATCTTTACCAAGGTTAGACAACGGCTATCGGTCGCCATCTGGGCTACACCGATCTTTGTTGCACAGACCTGTACCAGGGCTACTTCCGTTGCAGACAAGACCGGCAACGAATCGACCTCCACCCAGACTGTACCGGATATTACTACAGGAACCAGTACACCAAGAGTCACAAAGATCAGCACTTCGACCACCACCAGAACTACACCGGTTACCTCCTGGACTTTCACAAACATCTTCTCTACCGTTACAACCATCAACACAGTGAGTATGCCTAAACCGTTTAATCGCCGTATCAATGAATATTGGGTTGATAACGAATCGCGAGAACGTGGGCAGCACAGATTCTATTTATCATGTTTAGATAACTATATGCGAATGGATGAAAACGATTACCGCCGTCGATACGGCCTCCGTGTCGTACAAGGGCGACCTTGGTTACTTCAACGCATGGATCGAGGTCCGGTGACGTTATACGAAAGAGGGGAGGAAGAGTTTTTATTTACCGTTATATTGGTTCAGTCTGATCTCGATAATTCCACCGAAGAACTTAGGTTTTTGCGCAGCAATCCGCTTAATCTAAACCGTAGCCCAAAATTCAACTTTCATGCCGACAGCACTGTAGCAAGGTTGTACGAACGCATCTTCTATATGGAACGTTTGATAATCGACGACCCAATGTCTGTAGACGCGATAAAACGGTTGCGAGACACGCTGTCCTCGCAGGATTCTTACAATTGGATTTTATTGCTTGTGATAATTGCCACGATGCACCCGTATCCGAACGATCCATTCGTTATTCGGTCGAGCCCGGGCAAGCTGTCGATCAAACGTGCCGCGCGCATGTTGGTGGGTCCCCGTGGTATAGTACATGGTTGGGCCGGTAACATTCCGAACATAATTAACGCATTACAACAACACGGTGACATTTCATCGTTCTTGTGGTCACACGAATGTACTATTGACTCTGAAACGGATGGAAGCAGTTCGTACGACTCGGATTCCGTCGGTTACGAGAGTGACAGTTGGAAAAGTGGACCGCGAGGTGTGGCTCAAGGGCGTCCGCCGGTTACTGGTATGTCGTCGTTGAGCGACACATCCAGCGGTGCGAACAGTGATGAAGAACTCGTACGTAGTATGAGCATGATGGGGAACCCCGATAACGCTGATTTTAGACTTAAGAGATTTAAGGGCTACATGAAACGGTCGGCCACCGAACGACGTGAACGTCGAGCCATGAGGCGGGCAAGACGCGATATGCGTAAAAACTATAACTGGGAGCGCCGTCTAAAAGACTCTGCTTACGACATGGAGGCTAGGCGTGCCGAGATACTGGCTGCCGAAGGTTTGCGCAACGAGAGCCGTTCTCAAGAACTTTTAAATGCTGAACGGAAAACGGAACGCGTATTACACTGGTGCCGGTCCCAACAAGCCGTATTAGCTGGTATAGATGGCGAGTTGGCACCCAGTGAGCAAACAATGGACTGCCGACTGAAAGAATTGAGACAATCACTTTGTGATCAGGTCTCTCAGACTTGGAAGCAATTTTATGGAGACCAAACAACCGCTAAAATGACACCCGAAGAAATCGATGAAATGGTATTCTATTGCTGGGTAACGCCAATCCGGTGGATTCGACAAACTGGCCCCAAGTGAGTTTACTTATACATGCGATTTTATACCTTATTAGTTATTAGAAATTACTTGTAGTAGTAATACATAATAATTATAATAATAATAATAATAATAATAATATATTAATATCCAAGACTTTGCACTTAAATAATTAATTCGGGTTTCTGGTGTTGGATGTATTAAGATGTTCTAATAGTGTGATGAAATTATTAAACAAACGTTTGAGTACTTGTAACCGTTAATAGGTGTATACAATTGTTAGTAGTTCAAGTAAAATTTAATTTGATATCAAGTTAATACCAATTGTTTAGATTAAAAAGTGCTTCTAAGAATATTATTTTATATCATAAAATATTATTAAATTGTAGACGATAATACTGAATGTAAAGATGACATGAAGCATAATGTATACGTCATATTGACTGATTAATATCAATAATTTCTAATCTAATCGAACTTACTGAAAAAAATAAATACAAAATTACATATTATCAAATTAAATTTGTAAAATAATTAGACGTCCGAGATTTTAACTGAGGTAATCATCGTATAATCATACAAATTTCGAAATTCTTGAATATTTTTAAAACACAATCATTAGGGTTAGGTTATTCATTATAATTGTTTATGAATATAATGGGTTCCAGTTAATTGGAGTGCATGGTCCTGTAATATTTTTTTACGATTCATGTAGTTCAAAATTAAACTTTAGTGCGTATATTATTTTATGTTAATTTTGGTTGTCAAGTAGATAAGTTATATTAAATATACAAGATAGCTTATGGGTGATTGATGGTATTACATGTTGAAATGCGTGAAACACCTATTATAATAATTAAAATAAAATTTAAAAATATGTGTATTAATGTATTATGTATAATACATTGAATAAAATATTAAAAGTAATAATAGAAAATAATATTTGTTAATTTAATCTATATTAGTACGTAACATACAATTTTTTACTCAAAACATTACAAAAATAATATGGAAAAACGGAAATATTTATATATTATTAATATATACATCGGTTTTTGCAGTGATGTAAACTGAGTGGTGTAAATGTAACACTTGCACCACCACATCAAAATATGGTGGTGCAATGGTATGTTTTTGCACCACCAGAGAATCATTGAAATAAAATTTGTACACCTATGATACTAATTTGGATTTTGTAACTTTGTATAATATAAACATAAACCGGTACGAAATTGTAATTTTCGTGCATGTATTAGAGCTTATCAATTAAATTATTATCCCTATTTATATTCTAAAATTGTGTAACCATCATAGATAATTAGGTTATTATCAATGATAACCACATAATTAAATGGTTACTAAATAAATAATTATAAATAATTCAAAATTGATATATAATTTAAAGAAATTTATGGGAAAATATATACTATATAGTTTATTAGGAAAGATTTTACTTAAGAGGAGGCCGCACCCGTATGTGTTATCTCTGTATTACATACATAGAACATAGAAAATTTTTGTTCAGCAAAATTCATTTCATTTCATATTGTTAGCTTTAACATTAGAATAAATTTACCTATTATAAAACTTAAAGGTAAGAATTTTATCTAAGCAATGACATAGGATTTTATTGATATTTTAATTTTAAGCGGAGTTATAGCTATATAAAATATTAAAACTTTAAAATGCTCGTAACTCACTTTAAAATTATAATATTAATAAAAGCCTATGCCATTGCCTTGGCAAAATTCTTATATTTAAGTTTGATAATAGGTAAATTTTCTCCAATGTTAAAGCTAACAACATAAAATGGATTCTGTTGAACGAAAATTTTCCATGTTATATGTATGTAAGACAAAGACAACACATGTGAGTGCAGCATCCTCTTAAGAAATTGGATTATTGGTGTGTCGGAAATTATAGATTGGAAATATATGCCTCTGAACCGCCAGAAATTGGTTAAATTTACACCACTGGGTTTTTGCAAAACCAACTTAATTTTTTATAGAGTTTAGAAAGGTTTACCTGTACAAACATGACATATTTATTATATTTATAATCTTTCCAAGTTAATTAGATATACAAAATAAATGAAATAGAATGAAATAAAAAAAGATAAAAACAATATAATAAAATAGATATACGTTTATTCATAAGTTCTTTTATAAGTGGTTTTTTATACCTTTTAAGCTATTTATAGGTATTAGAAATAATTTTAAATTGATTTATCTTTTACTTGTTATTAAAAAAAAAAAACTTGAAAATGTTAATATAACAATAAAATTTTCATATAAGCTGTAAAATATACATATAATAGTTTTAAAATATAAATAATACGAGTACAGGGTATTAAATTATTTTATACATTTTTAAATTTTAAATTCTGAATAAATTAATAAAAAAAAATTCCGTTTTTATTTTATCAATTTGATTATTTAATTGTAATTAAAATTAAAAATAAAATACATTAATTGCATTGAGAATGGAGACTTTTCTTCGTCGCGAATACCGTTATTTTTTATACACAATGAATTTTCAAAACATTTAGATTAATAGTATATTAATTGTTATAATTTATGTATTTATTTTAGTATTCACTCCTAGTAGCGCAACTAAGACTTATTTTCGGTAGGTGTAATAAACAATGGTAATAAGCAATGAGGAGGAAGTTGATGTGTGGTGGTACTTTAGAGTTGCTAATATATTTTTAACAAACAAAAGAATGATCTAATTACACGTAGGTATAATTTCATATTTTACCATCGATAAAAAAGTATAAATCTGGCACTGTCATGTACTATCAATTGCTAACAGATAATATTCACACAGGACCGAAAGAAAAAATGAAATAACTTAAATATTGAATAATTAGGAACTTATATATCGTACTTTTATTGTATAAATTATAAGTCATGATATTAAAAAAAATAATAACAATAAACACTACATAATTTTTTTAAATGCATTATTAATATTATCATCCATAGGAGGTATATTTTATACTATCTATCATGGTAAACTAAATAAATTGGTGTGTGTATAGACCTAGAGTAAAGTCGATAGATCTATGATTAATGTCACTATTATTTCTACAAACGACGTGATCATACTATATCGTTTCAAAATAGATAACAAATGGTTATACATAAAACTTAACTGTACAAAATTATTGCGTTGAATGCTATATCTAAAAAAGAAATTTGAATTTAAAGACATTTTTCTGGTAAAGAGTATTACAAACTCCGGGTAAACTCACTATTTGTGTTATATTTTTGACAGTTATCATAACACCACCGAAAAAAAGTTGTATGATCTTTATAATTATTATTGTTTTGTTTTGGGCGTCGTAACTTAACCCCTCTAAATACAGACGCGTTACAATTGTGTATAGTCCTTTTTCACTTTTACGATTATATAAAATTATCCAGATTTATCCACAAGATTACCCTAATGTAGTATAAGGATGCCATTTTACACAATCGTAAAAATGTATAATATAATAATTTATTTTAGGAAATTATTGCTTATCTTTGTGAATGTTTTATAAACGTTACTGTGAATATTATTACCAGTGCAATACTTTTCGATAAACTAATTATCTAATGCTATAAAGTACAAGTAGATAAAAATAAATGCCGATTATTTTAACGGATTTTCTAGTGTATTGCAGTTTAACATCTTTATAATAATATACGATCAACTCCCATCAGATTAGTTTCTGGTATTTTTTTAAACAGTATTAATTAATATTTTAATTAATCACAGAGAATAATTTTAAGTATTTTTACTGATGTTAACAATTCCAGAGTATAAGGCATTCGGAAGCTAGAAAAATTGATCGTCAAGGTTTCTTAGAAAATTTCAAAAGTAAACCTTATCTTAAATTAATAATATGTAATTGTATATGTAAATATTGCATATTAAAAATGTGAACCTTTAAAACTCTATTATGCCAATCACCAATGGCCATAGTCGCCGAGATTTATGTATGAATAAAAAAATTCAATTTCAACTTGATCAAGCAAAGTTATACGAATAAAATTACCGAGAAATTTAAATACAAATATTGTGGGTATGAATATATTGTCTTCAGTACGAAAAGTCATTTAGGTATATGGTAAGGTGAAAAACTTTGCTTCTTATCTAAAATTTTTTAATAAATTATAGATAAAATTTAAAAAATGCAAAATAATAATGTTTTTAAAAGTAATAATTAATAATTCTTTCACATTCCGTTAAATAAATTATTTATTTATATTTAGTTGCGTTCAGTAGCTTATCCAGAATTTTTAAATGGGAGGTAGGGTTAAGGTTTAAGTATATACGTACCAAGGATGGATAACTCAAAATTGTATCGGGCCAAAACATAGAAAACAAAAAAAAAAAAAAAGGTCATTTAAAATTTCAAAATATGAATTTTAATTATAATTATTTTGCTTACAATGTAAATGTATTTGAATTTCATTACATTAACCATATTCTTTTTGTCTTGATTGCTAATTTACTGATTAATTAAAAATATTAAAATAATAAAATAAAATCAATGGGGAGGAGGGTACATCTCCTCCTCCGGCAAAGCCACTGGTTGTATTTAATTGACCATGTTTATATGAACATTAACTATATTGATAAACATGTATAAAAGATTTATATTTGTTGCTATTTATGCTTAATACTAATGGTAGCTATACACTTACATTCGTATGCAATCGTAATATTTTTACTACTAAAGGAGACATCGTACGCAATCGTTAATCACCATTAAATATGTATCAAAGTATCTCCATAATTTTATGAATTAAATGTATTCTAAATATGTACCCATTGAAATTTTAATTTTTTTAAAATAATTTTTGAATTTTATAGAAACTTATTTAAGCCCTCGTACTCATCCTAGAAAGACATTTTTTCGATTTTTTTTCTCCATAAGACCATAACAAATTTTTAAATATCATGCATATTTTTAATTATCTTTAAACGTAAAAAATTTCTAGTACATTTCTTGATAATTGATAAAAATAAAAAATATAATTAAGGAAAAATGAAAATTTTTATGCTAAACTAGTTTTTGAAAAAATAGATTTTTCCCCGTTTTAATAAAATTTTAAAACTTACAATTTTTCATATACCTAGATGGCATAATTTTTAAAATATTTAAAATATTTTTGAGCTATAAGTATTTATAAACTATTGAAACATTTGATTTTTTCCATAATTCTCAATAAAATATTTTCATACTTGCTGAAAAAAGAAAATTAAATATAAGTTTCCTCATCAAAAATATAGATGTGTTAAAAGTCAGTTAAAATCATAAAAATTAGCAAATTATTTTATGGTAACTAGTTAAAAATTCATAATATTTTTAATATTTTGGTATACTTAAAATTTTAAAATTTAATTAAAGGTTCTTAATAAGTTTTTCATCTTATATTAAACAAAAGTATTTTTAACAGAAAGTCAACTAGGTACATTTTTATGACCGTTTAAGTTTTTACGACATATTTACATATAAAATAACTATTTTTTTTCAAACGATTTTTGTTATTATGGTCCGTAAACCTATAACCGCGGATACGTGAAATTTTAAAATGTTTATTTTATCATTTTATTCACATTTTATAATTTTCTAAATATTTAATTAATTTTGAGCTATTTATATGCAAGACATTTTTGAATTAATAACATTTTTTTTTCTATAAAATTCCTAAGAAGATTATTCACCGAGTTAAATTTTTAAAAAATATAATATAAGATTCTTCATAAGTTATTTATGTACTAGTAAAAAATATATGATAAATAATAATTCAGGATTTTTTTTTCACAAGTATTTTTAGTTTAATATCCAATGAAATTCGTTTAAATCATGTATATTTGTTAATTATTTTCCCGTTTAGATTTATAAAAAGTTCAATTGTTATATTTAAGACTTGATAATTTAATTGAACGTCCAACATAAATAGTTTTTATTGAAACTAAATTGTTTAAAAAATATATAACCAGAATATTTTTTATAGCTATTTTAAATTAAAATTTGGACAAAAATATATGTTTAGACAAAGAATAAATACAACTTAATTTAATTTTATAAATATTAAAAAAAAATTTAAAAATATGTAAAAATTTTTGAAATAATGTAGTAGGTACAGAGTTTCTCATAAGTTAATTTATCAACAAATAATATCGAAAATGTATAACTAATATTTTTTTTTAATCATCAGTTAAAATTTTGATATACACCAAAATCATGAAAATGAACAAATTATTTTTGAGTTAGAAATTTATTAAAACAATTTATCGAAGATCATTTATAGATTTCTCATTAGTTTTTCTATTTGTGTAAAAAAAGTTTACTGGAAAGTCACATTAATAATTATAAGCAATATAAGAAATCATATTAATTATTATATATGATTACTTATATATTACCATTGATATTTACATTAATTTTTTATGCGTGATAAAGATATGGACACATATTTCGAATATTTTAAATTTTTTTATAAACTTTTGAAATTTGTTTGTTTTGTTTCTTTAAATGTCGATTACAATTTTCACTTGGTTAAAAGCTTGAACATTCAGTACAAGATCCTGCGTAAATGTTTTTAATATTACTAAATTATTTAAAATACATAGACACAATTTCATTTTATGAACATAATGAAGTTTAACTATGACAAAATTAAAATCATTTTTAGTATACAACATTATATTATTGAATTTAAATTTAGTACACCATCGTAGTGAGTTACTCGACATACGTATATCGTATAGCAGAGCGTATTTACTTACTTACCTTCTTAACGTTAAATTTTATACATAGGTATTAAATTTTTGAGTGAATTTTACAAAATATTATTTTTATTTATTTCTTTTTAGTTTTTCTTTGTCTATTATCACCTTTTAAAGAAGCGAAAAAACTTCGTTTTTCAATTTTGAGGAAGGTTTTTAATAGATCTAGTTTTAAAAGGTTAAAAGTAAAAATCCTTGTTATAAGTACTTTCTGAATAACCGGAGGATATAATGAAAAAAAAAAAGAAAAAGAAAAAATTGGAATTTTTTATACAAAATCAGCTTTTGAAATTTACTAAAAATGTTTTCATTAACATTTTTCTATACATGATAAAATTTTCTTTTAATTGCCTTTAATTTTTTTTTCTATTAATGTTGATAAAAAACGTTCAATTGGCCAATAACTTTGAGAATAATATTAGGTTTTTTATAATTTGTTTATTAACCAATTAAAAAATACCAAAAATCAATAGCCTTTAATTTTTTTATACGCGTTTTAATTTTAAGTTCAAATTTTGATGAAGTTCCTCATTCTGTACTTGTAAGGTTCATACTATAAGTTATAATACAATTGTTTTATGGTATTTGAAACTTTTAACGCATTTTATTATATTTTATATACCTACTCGCAATGATATTTTTAAATGCAATGTTTTTGTCAAATATAATTTAACCTACCGTATAACTAATAATTAGATAAATTAAACTTTAGTATCAATATATCAACATAAAATATTATAAAATAATTAAAATATACATAGTAATATACATCGACTGACCGTCTCCGCCCAGAATAATTTTTTATACACAATATTTTATCATTAAATTTAAAACATACATTACAATGATTTACTCAATGATGAGGTGTCGTGATACTTCGAATATTCAATAATCTCTGTATAGCAGAGTATACTTATCTACTTATTTCCTCCTTTTCATTACACTATATATACATTTTATTATAATGATAATAATAGTTGTCTATAGTTATATATAAATATAACCCATAAAAAAAAAAAATTTGTATTAACAATCAAAAAGTTTTAATTAGGTCCTTAGCGAAATTGTGTACCTACATTATTGTTTGTTTTTACATTACCTTTTACTTAAAACTATAAAATAAATCTCTAAATGTAATGCAAAACAGCTTTGTTAAGTTTTAGATTTGAAAATGATTGAAAGTCATTCATTATTTAAGATTACAATTTGAAGTTTAAAATTGCTTTTCTGTACAGTTTGATTTTTTTAAATAGCATATTTTGTTTTTTAGCCCTACAAATGTGACTTAAATATTGAAGTTCATTTACATAGACACACAGTTTTATTAACAATTTAAAATTATTCAAAATAAAGTAGATAATTAATTGTAAGGATAGATTTGTAATTACGTAATTTTTTCTCAGATTCATAATCACTTACTTTTTTAAAGTTGTTCCATGCTTTGTCTTTAATAATCTTGCTTACTTATTTAGTAAGTCTAATTATATATTTACATTATTTTAGTTTTATCTCTACTTATATTCTATTTGAAAATCGTGAAAAGTAAAATATGACGATCATAATAGAATAGTAATAATATTTTGATTCAAGAAAAACAGTTATTATAAAAACAACATTTATTAATTGATTTATTTTATTGTATTAATAGTGTTAATAATATTATCAATAAGGTAGAGATATTTATGAACAATATAAAAAAAAAATACAAACAAATATGTAAAAAAATGGCTTAAAAAGACCAAAATATAATATATTTAAGTAAATAATATTTTATAGAGTGCCTATCAGGTAACTCTATTCTTATTCTATTCTCTGTTCTATTCTTAAGTAAAATTTTAACAATGTTCAATGAAATAATTATATTACCTCGGCTTTATTAAAGTATGCATTTTAATAAATACAACAAGAAAATTTAACATTATAATGCAATATATATTTATCAAAACAAGTATAAGATTTCTTTTTTTTTTCAAATTTATACACATTGAAAATAGCATTAGTACCTAGTCCAAACTAAGTATGTTAATTGCTAATAATTTCCTAAGTAATTTATTTTATAGGTTGGATTTAATATTGTCATATTTGATTGTAATACAGAGTGTAAAAACGTTAGTAAATGTAAAATATCTGTGTGATATTTTATCACAGATACCAGTATGGTAGATATGAATAAGTTAGGTAGCTTTAAGTTGTATAGAATGTTCGTAATATAACTTTTTTTTCTATTAACAGTTGTGGATTGGCAGTTCTTGCTATGGCTGCACGTCCAATAATAACTTGTGAGGCTACGATGGGTGATGTTCATGAGGGTGGTAATAACTATAATGAAGACAGCGATCTAAATGAGGTGGTGGAAAAAGCCAATATTGAGTTGTCGGAAAAAGAGCTGCGAGATGCTGAATCCTCTACATCTAAAAGCAATACCACTAATCCGTCAGAAATTTTTGTACCAAATATAGCAGACTTTCAAAGGGAAGCTATAAGATGTGGGTACTCGGGTCGTGGTGAAATGTTTAGTGCCCAGGCTATGGTCAATTTGGCTAGGATGCATAAGGCCGGACGATATAATGTAACGTTGGTAAAGAATGATTTATTGGATATGACAGAAGAATCTAATGAAGAGGACGATACTGAACCTGAATTAATAAGATTGATGGCTGAAGGATATGAAGACGAATGTATTTGGTCACCTGACTTTTACAAGGATTTTGAAACTAACGAGTTTAAACAAAACATCAATACACATAATATGAGGATGTCTAATAGCGGAAATTTAAATTCCTCGTCATCTGCACTAACTGTGGTCGAGCGTCTGATGCGTGGTCACCTTATCGCTGTTTGGTAAGTATTATATTTTAGCTATTTATTCATTTTTACTTATTCATGGATATAGCTGGTAATAAGTAAGGACCGGATTTATATGCACAAAAAATCCTCAAAATATGCTTCTAAAAATGCAGTAATATGCTACAAAATATGTATATATTATTAAACATGCACTAAAAATTGAATCTAAAATATTTTATTTAAAATTATATAAAAAAATAAATATTAATTAATTATTAAAAAAGGTAGCAAAGGTTTCAAAAGTATAAAAAAATATTTTGTCATTTAACATTCTTTATATTCAATCTATAAAATATTAGGGCGTAGGTAAATTAAGTCCCAAACTAAATTACTGTTTTTCAAAAGTGGTGAATTAAGTCCCTTGTAAAAAAATTAAAGTGGTGAATTGAGTCTCTTGTGAAAAAATTATAGTGGTGAATTGAGTCTCTCGTATATTATTAGACTAGTTTTCAAAATTTCCTATACGTACAGTTGTGCATCATTATTTAGTTATTGCGAGCACACCAATGTCACGTATTAATATGATACTTATCTTATCGTATTTATCCACGATTACTGTAGATTATTATAATTTACAATATTACCTATACGCACAGTCGTGCACCATCAGTTATTGCGAGCATATTAGCACATCTATTTAAACATTATAATGGAAGTAATGAAAATTGAACGTAATAAAACAATTTTTATTTCTAATGGTTACAAATTTCGATATCATAAAATGCTATAAAAAATGAAATCCAGCGGTAGACTTGCTCCTTAAGTACGTGTAAGTACTATTTGAAAATCAATGATTCCAATACAGTTATTGATTGTTTTGAAGATCACAAACACAATAAACTAGATGAAAAAACTTTGAACCGACAAAAAATTAGCAATGGTTTCAAACGAAAAGCTATCGAAGATATTTCAAGTAAGCCAACTAAATTTTTACATACTGAATTACAAAGAGAAAACGTAAATACATTAACTTTGTCAGATACGACTCTTATTAAAAGAAATATACGAAATATTAGATCAACTGTTCACCCTAATTTACCAAAAACTGTAATTGAAACTCATGAAGTTTTTAATTAAATAATTATTAAAATAAATACGGACGAACCCTTTATAATGGTCAATGATCACGATAATAATATTATCGGATTTTTAACAACTTCTAACTTAATGGTTTTATGTGATTCAAATACAATATATGTTGACGGTACTTTTAAAAGTTGTCCCAAATATTTTTTATAAATCTTTACGATTCACACACTTGTGAATGAAATGTATGTTCCACTAGTTTTTTTTTATTGCCAAATAAGGAAATCAAATTTTATTTTTATTCTTTTAAGTATACGGTGGATCAGTGTACAATTGTTGGTTTAACATTTTCACCAAAATATATTTTTATTGACTTTGAAAAATCTATACATAATGCCGCGCAACAAGTTTGGCCAGAAATTTATATTAAAGGTTGTCGTTTTCACCTTGGCCAAAGTTAATGGAGAAAAATACAATCCCTTGACTGCTTAAGTTCAAATTATAAAATACGAAATTCGGAGGAAAGCAATTTTTAAAAAAATTCTTTGCTTTTCCATTTTTAAGTCCGAAAGATGTTTACGATTGTTTCATTGAAGATATTATGCCAAAGCTTCCTGCAAATAAAAATTTAAAATTATTTACCGATTATATTTTAAAAACATACATTGCATCAGATTCTACATTTCCGCTTAATATTTGGGCTGAATTTTCGACTATATCTAATCGTACAACGAATAGTTGTGAATCATTTCACGCGAAGCTGAATAGTTTATTTTATACTTCACATCCAAATATTTATATTTTTATTGATGCACTCAAAGAAATCCGATCTAATACATATATTCAAATAAGAAGTAAAGAACTATGCAAAAAATCAAAACACAATATAGAAAAGAAGAATATACTAAGAGAACAAATGACAAATACAAAAATAAAGAAATCAGTAGACTTGACTTTATTAAGCTCGTATCATTAAAATATTTGCCCATTTAATATTAAAAGTATTATTTATCTATTATTATTATTGAAAAAAAAATAATTATTATAAATAATTATATCATGTATTATTCATTCAAAATTTGATTACCTATTATTATTATTATTGGTAAAATTAATTATTCATTCACTAATTATAGTAATTAGGTACTAATTACTATAAGAATTATTAATTTACCAGGATAAATATTTACAATAAATATTTATATTTATAAGGGACTCAGTTTACCTCTTTCATTTTTTTACGAGGGACTTAATTTACCTATTACTTTTTTTTGGCGGGACTCAGTTTACCTAAAAATAATAATATGGGACTCAATTTACCAAATCCGAAATATTAGCCCACAATAATAAAAATTGAAAACAAAAATTTATCTATATTAATATATTATGTATGTTGCATATGAGTATGTCATCTTATCTTTAACAATAACGACCGGCCGTAATTTTATCGATATTATGTGGCTGTAAATGTGAAAATTCAACAAAAAACAAATATCTGTATGTGTTATAAATAATAATATGCACTATTAAACTACTAATATACATTTAACATGTAAAACCGTTGAAATATGCAAAATACAATTAATGTTATTTTAATAACAATGAATCGGAGACAATTCTCATCAGATTTCAAAAATCTTATTCCAATACATATATATATTTGCATATATGTAAATCCGGTCCCTAGACCAATAAGTAAAATAGTAAACTTATTATTTTTTGTATTGTGTTTTTTTTTTTTTGTAGTTTTGATTGCGATAGGAATATGATGCCGTCTACAACCAACGGTGGGAGCACCGCTCATTGGGCACTTTTATGCGGTGTTATCATTGGAAAGTCCCATAAAAAACAAAAAAAGAAAATTCAGCAATACGACTGTGAGGCTTCTAATTCGTTAAGATATGAATATGAATATGCATATAATTCGAGTGCGGCCGATCATATCTCAACTTGTTTCAATGATAAAAATATATTCGACATTAAAAATTATTATGGTAGAGAAATTGCCAGATCCAGTCGAAAGTTTATGCGTGACGTATATGTTAATGGTGCGGGTATAGCGGGAGAAGATTATTATGGCGAAAATCAAAATATCAACGAGGAAACTAGTTCTTTTGATATATCTGATCTGGATTTGAAACGGGATGCTGACCGTGTGTGGGTGGTAGCACGACATGGAAAAGTAGGTGATCGGTATTCTGTGTGGTCACTCAAAGAGCTTGCTAAAAGCAACTGCCAGTTACGTACACCTGCGAATAACATTTTGCGTACCATCCCGTACGAAATAAAAATGTTATGGAACAACGAACAACACCCCATCGATTACACTCCTGCCGAATCGAAATCTATTTTTACTGCTCATAATAGTAGTACTAACTATTGTGATTTGGATTCAACCGAGACTGACATGTTTCAACAACCAGAGAGCACTAATGTCGAGTTACCGGACAAAAATAAAAAAAAATCGGTTTTAGAACAGATACAAACGGAAAAACTATCACTACCACAATCGACTATACAAACACCACCAGAAATACAACTATCACCATCACCAGAACTTTCATCACTATCTCATCCTCCACCACCACCACCACCACCACCACCACCATCATCACCATCCACATTAGTAGTTATGGGCATAAGATCCCTGGATGATGACGACGATGAACCACCGTTCGTATTACCGGAAGGACCTAAACTCAACATTTGTTTGGCCCATCAGTTCATTTCATTTGAACCTATCCGAACACCAAACATAATAACTGACAAGAATGATCAAAAAACACTAAACGTGAGTAACTTGTACCAAATTATTGCCATAAATTAAAATATTGTTTATCGTCAAAATATAAATAAGTTTAGGTATACAGTCGACTCTCAATATAAGTTGGCGGGACTTTTGAAAAATTCGAATTACTGAGAGTTAAGAAGAAAATTTTGTTTGTTTATTATTGCACACACATAATTATTAAATATTTCAACAAATTAGGTGGTATTACAATTATTTATTGTTTTTTAAAATGTAAGTTAAACTATGTAAATTAAATTATTATTATTAGCAAACGATTAAGAAATAAAATGCTTACGATGATAATTCTAAAGTTATCGAAAATAATAAACTAAATATTTACACAATTATATTGTAAATTATCAATGAAAAGATTATAAGTAATATGTTTGGTGAATAATGAATATACTTCGAATTACCTAACGTTGACCGGATGTAACTTCAAATTGTCATATTTTAGTGGTTAGTTTTTTTTCAAAATTTAATTTCGAATTATTTAGTATACTTAAATGAATGGTTTTTATTCGAATTACCGTGAGATTTTCAAGAGAACAAGCAATTAATTCAAATTACCAAAAATTTCGAATTTCAGAAAATTTGAATTATCGAGAGTCGACTGTAGAATAATATTATAATGCAGTAGTGTTATGAAACAAAACTATTTTATAGTAAAAAATAGTTTACCAGTTAGTTAAAATTTAGGTGACTATAATAGTTGCGTTCTACAGTAAAAATTCTTACCAAATTTTTAAGGTATATAATAATTATAGCCTTAGTATTTTTTTTAGATACATACTAATAAAAAATAAAAAATATGAAATTGGGTATATAATTTTAATTTATTTGAATAACATACGTATACATACAGGTGAAACCTTTAAAAATATATTTACATATTATGAAATTATAATAAATAAATTATATTAAATTATAATAATAAATCCATAGTATTATATAATATAAGGTAGCATATACAGTGAAACCTCTGAATAGCGGACACTCGTCATCAAAATTACATCCACTATTCATAAGAATTACATATTTTTTAAAATGCATAAAGTGTAATTGTGTCAAAGGAAAAAATATGCGCTAGGTTAAATTAAATTATAATATTATATTATTCAATCTTTTAATGATATGATAATTTTAAAATTTTAACAATATTTATTTAAATAAACATAATAAAAGTAATGCATACATAAGTATTGTTTAATTTGGTGTAAAAATTATTTTTTGTCGTTTTTGAATGAGTTCGTTTTTGTTGTATATTATAGTGTAAGCGGGGATTTTTGTCGTTAGTTTTTTATTTTTAAATTAAGATTAAAATATATGTTTATTTTTCGGAGATTTTCTTTTTGAAAAATAGTAAAAAATTCTCTATTCTCAAATAAAAATCCGTTTTTTGGAAATATCTGTTAGGAGAGGTTTCAATGTAAACAGTAAATTAAAAATAAAAGATACTTAATGTATTAATTTTATAACAACTATGTTTATTGTATAACTTATATTGAATAGGTAAGTTAAAAAAAATAAATAAATAAATAAATAAATAAGGTAGTTGTTATAAAAAGAAAAATATGTTAATAGTTATTACGATAGGTTGATAAATAGTTGAAATATCTTATTTTATTTTTATTTAAATATTCATAATAATTTAGATTCCAAGTGAATTGATGAATATATTGATAATACAATATTACGAGTGTTGTTTTTCTATCTGTTCAGTAACTGGTAACAAATTATATATAGTTGCTACTTTGTGGTGATTAAAATTCAAAAAATTCTTGCATGTATTTTTCAAAATAATCAGGAGAAAAAATTATAGAAAAATAGTAATTTTCACAAAAAACTTAAATTGAGAAAGAAAACTTGTGTCATTATAATAATGTTTATTTTTAGCTTAAAATTTAAAAATAAAATTGGCCAAAAAATAATAATGGTAGAGTGAACGTTTATTTTAAAAGTTAAAAGTGATTAGTGCAATTCACAACATGTTTTTCGTGAATACAAAAATATCGTAAGAACTATTGGAATGTTTCATTTAAAAAAAAAATTCTAATTGGGAAAATTTAAAAACACCAGTTTAACCGGACTTGGAAATTTTAATCTGTGCGTGCTCACTCATGTAATGCATAAATATTAACTATAATTTTTCATTTTTTGTTTTGTATTCCTGTACAGCCATTGTCTACGTTTGTGTGTCACTTTTCATTTAAAATGAACCAGAACTTAAAAAAATTGAAAAAAATCAAAAAAACTTTAAGTTATTTACCAAGACGACACCATCGTCGGCGATCGGATTCATCTTCAGAAAGTAGTACATCTTTGGATCGGCAATCGACACGATCACACCTACGTCGGCGTCGTCATCGACTAGAGCGCAGCTCAAATATAGAAGAAATGCAATGGTCCCCAAAAGAGTATGCTGTTCAGTCAAAACCAGTAAAACAAATACCTTGTCCACAAATAAATAATAAATGGTTAACGGAACAAAACCAACAGCAGCCACAAAATGCGGTTCATTCTGAACAAATTGAATATGTAACCGAACCCGTAGATCCTAAATTATTCCAGCCGTTAAATATCCCTACAATGTCTAGAGTTTCAAATCCTGTGTGTTTGGTGACGCGGAGACAGGCGTTCCGTCGAACCAAAGAAACCAAAGAAAACACTAGAGCAAATCTTTGATGTGGCGATAATATGATAACACCTATCCCCTATGATCTACTCACAACTCTTACTCTTAACGTCACTAATTCTCACTTCATATTCTATATATGTAGTATCAACGAAACCAATCCCAATGACTTGAGTATTCCTCGTCTAAATTTTCTTGGTGCATTTGCTTACAACTTATTTGATGACCTGCTTACCAACACAAATTTGCCATATCATTTGCGATTTCGATGTTCATAGTAACTCCGATGGAATAATTATGAAAAACGACCTTTAGTAAGTAACATAATATAGTTCATGATTATTATTTATAATTTGTATGTGCGCCTAAATTATATATTAAATTTAAATGTTTGATTAATTTTAAATTTTCTGTATAATTATAGTAAAATTATGATAATCTATTATTATAGGAAAATATTATAGTATAGTATAATTTTAAATCGTAATATGGTTATGATCTGATAGTATTATCAGATGTGTGTGTGCGGGGGGGGGGGGTATAAGGGATGTTAAACTAAGTCAGCCGTATGTATGCATAAAATATATGTTACCTACTATATACTCGTAATTCAGATTTTCATAACATAATATTAAGTTGTCTTATGTTTCAAATTAGTTTCTACTTCATATTTGATATTTTTAATATGAAAATTAATCACTAAAATTAAGAGTGTATAAAGCCCCTCATATTTAAATATAAGAATAAAATCTTTTCTAAAACAAATGCTATTAGCTTGCGTGATACGTACATTGGTTAGTCTTGGAAAATACTGACGTAGGATTTGCTTTAGTAATATTCTAATATACGTTTTTTATCCGCCGGTGAGCAATCAATTATTAGAGTGATATATAATGTAGTTATAACACTTTGAGCCACTGACGTGTAAATGATGATTTCTTATAGTTATAAGAACAAAATCCGTGAGTTACTACAGGGTAAAATCAAGCAGGTAGTATAAAATGATATTAATCCAGAATTTGGATAATTAGTTTTAATATAGTATCGGCGTCATCCATCTGGTACAAAGTGTACTGAGCTCTAGCCTGAGTTCTTAATTGGAATAATAAAAAACTGTCATCATGTTAATTATATTAATTACGCGAATCTTGTCCAAAACTTAGGTATAATTTATTCGTTTGAAAACGCTAATAATTTTTCGTAAAATAAACTTAAGTTTTAATTAATTAATACGTGATTTCATCTAAGTGAAGTTATACACTTTTTTGAATTTTCATAGATGCATTAATGTACGATACTCTTAGATTTAAACCACGTGAATACTGTCAATACTATATTAGAATTATTTATACATTTTACTTTGTTTAACTATAGTAAATTAATAACATTAACTTTAATAATAGTAAATTAACTACTTTATAGGATTCAGTAGGTATATGTTTTATTTAATTATAATATAGTAAAAGGGAGTTTATCAGAAAATAAACATGCCAACAAATAATATTATTTCAGTATATTATACCACATTTAATATACTTTACATTATTTTAGATAAAGAATTTATAATTAAGTCGTCATATTATGCTGAAAATTTAAAATCTAAAAAAAAAAAATTAAAAAAATTAAAAAAACAAAAAAATCACACAAATACTAACCTAACCTATGTACAAGCTAAACTAATTTAAAGGGATTATAAGTAGACAATTTTTAAGGAGTTAAGTTTAAGAATTTTTTTAAGTGTATACATGCCGGTCTGGTAAATATATACGTAATCATTAGTATGTCTAATGTAAAAAAAATAACAGAGCGCTGGTGCAGATTTATAAATGTGAAATAGGAGAGGGGGCTATAATTCTTCAGAAAAATATAATTGTTAATTTATTACATAATAGATTATAAATAAAATTATAGATAAGTTTTGATAAAAAATATTAACAATTTTATTTATATTTTAAATTTATGGATTTAAAGATGTATTAACTATTTATTATGTAATATATAACATTTATAAACAAAGAGAATGGGGGGATAAACTATTTTCTGGGAAATCACTCCTATATGCGCACTTATAAGTCACCACTCCAGCCTCTCACACGCGAAAGAATATTTGCTCATTCATATGTACCTACATTTTGTCAATCTTACCGATCTAATCTTATTAATGAGATTTCTAAAAACTAATTTGATTTCTTTAATATGCCTATACTTGAGATCGATTTGGCCACATTTTAATATTTTTTATTTAAATTTCAAATTTCATAGATTTTAAATATTCAAAACGAATTTATAGGAATTGGGGAACAAAATTTGATATAGTAATTTGATCAATTTTAATTACCCATGATTTATAATTCATAACAGTTTCCAAAAGTATATTTACATCACTAGATCCATTAGTATGATTGATAAAAGATTGATAGGTACATATATTGTATTGATACCAATACAATTAAAATTTAGTAAAATAAATGTTAAGTTAATTTAGTGTGAGGATTTTTTTCATTAGAGATTATAGAGTATTAATAAATTATTGGGCGTTCATCAAAAAATAAAAATGTCATTTCATAAATGTTATTTTATAAATTACTAGTAAATATCGTTTAAGTTAAAAAAAAAAAAATTATTCTTAATTTTTTTTTAATCATACTGATTAATATGCTGTGCATTTTTATGAGAAATAATTTTCTAGTCAAATTATATTGTTTAAATAGTTGAAAATTTAAAAACAAATAATAAGAAAAAAAACATTTAAATTTATGTACGAGCAAGTATATAGGTATAATATAAAAGTTAAACCGATGTACTATTATTTCACCAATAACCTTATTTGTTAGAACATTGTATTTGATACCGACATGATTAAAAGTTTTATTTTAATATTCATTGATTTTGTGTAGGTATTAGGTTTTAACGACATGTTATTGTTTTATTACTTTCTTTTACTATCTCACGAACAAAAATGTGCGTCCTTTTATTGTGTAGGTATAATAATATGTGTATAAAGTAGTTATAATTTATAAATTGGTTTTTTATTCGTATAATAACGTAATAATATACACGCGTCACGATAATATTACGCGTGCGCGGATTGACATTTAGAAGCTCCATGAGAATAATCCTGATCGTTTTCGCATGGTAGCTTTAAGTGTACGTTTTTGAAATAGATCACACGATATTACGCTAATTACAATCTAACTATTGGCGTAGAATAAGTTTGTGATTGAGTTTTTGTTTTTGTCATTTGGAGGTGAAGGAAAGGGTTTTCTTTGTAAATTATGGAAAGAAAATATTCCAAAAGTTAAAAACTGAAAAAATAACACACTAATAAACCCATTTTCATAAATACGTGTTCGCGTAGTTGCGTATACAAACTAACTCATTTAATATGCCACTGAATCAGGCTTGATCTTTATCATTGTGTGTATTATTTTATTTATTAAGTATTTATAAATACTAGTTTTTAAGTGTGTATTTACACGCCTATAATTATATCTACTATAATATGAGAGTCTTGATAAAAATGTTAGTAACTTTTATCTACACGAAATCGTTTATGATTTTTTCATAAATTATCATACTTTTAAAAAACGTACTTCACGACTGTTTTATTATTTTGTGTGTGTGTGTTTGGTTTCATATAATTTTAGTAAATTCAAACACATATACTTACATAATATCATAAATTAATATTTAACCGTAATTCATAAATAATAATTATATATATAATTTTTTTTTATTAGAATATACCAATTCTAATATAACTATTTAAGCGAGTCCTAATTTAATCCTATTGAAGTAGTTGAAAATTAAAAATTTTTTTTGAATATGTTGTCTGCTTATGTGTGCCATAATTAATGTGTAAGTCTTGTAACTATAAACTTTTTGTTATAATATTACTTATTTATATTACATTATATTACATATTCGTAAAAAATAATAATTAACCTAAGTTAAGTTATAAATATATTCATAATTTAAATTACCTTCGTGCTGATATTCAATTGCACTGTTTTCCGTTTGTGTTTATATTATTACTATAGTTTTTAACGTAATAATATTAAACATTAAATATTACGCACTTTAGCACATAAATAAATCGTAAATATATATTTTTTGAATTTATATAAACTAATAGTTTATACCTACAATTGGTTCTATTTACTTTGTGGATGCCGATCTGAATTCAGAGGTGTATTAGTCCCGTGTATAGCAAAGCACGTCAATTTTTGAAAGGGTAAAACAGGAAATTTACTGTAGTACCAAAAGTTTAAATATGGCCCTGTGTTAGAGTCTTTATTATGAGTATAACTACCTTGTAGGAAAGTTTTATTTTTATTTTTTTAATTATCTTTACTACATTTTCATAATTATTATATTTATAATAATATAATTTTATTTGAGTTTAATAATAAATAATTTAAAATTATTACTCATGTAATTATACTTACATAGGATTTCTTTATGTCTCAATTTCCTATTATTATAATAGTTTAAATTATTTTTCGTAAATATTTAAACAGTTTATTGGTAACAATTTAATTTTAGTTAAATGATAAGTAAAATGTATTTAAATTTTAACTGCGTACTTAAATACGATTTAATTCTTTGTTTATGATAAATATTAGTACTTATAATTTATTCGTTTCAATTTCTAAATACGAATAATTGTGTATGATTCAAAATATATTCAAATTATTAAATTTCTAAAACCATTGTTTTTTTTTTTTTTCATTTTATTGAAACGAATCATTACTTAATTATCACTTAACGAACATTATGTTACTTATATATTTATATTATAACAATTTTTTTTTAAATATATTACTGAAAAATAATCAACCCAACGTAAACATTTGTATGTACCTACCTACAATTTATAAAAATTAAATATTTATCATTATTATTATTTGTGTTACTTTATGTATGATTTATAGAAATTGAAGTTTATCATTTTCATATGTTCAATATTATGGTTATTATTTTAATTTTATTATATAATTACGTGTTTTGACAAATATTTACATTATAATCATAAAAATAATTTATCTTCATAATAATATATTTGTCATGTTTACTTGGTACAAATACAAGATACCTACTTAAATATGCTATTTTTTTTTTCATTGTAATATTTATCATAACAGATAATATGTGTGTATGTTTGTGTTAAATAATTATAATCATTATTTGAAATCCATGTTTTATTTTATACTGAATTTTTTCAATATCTTCTATTTTTATGGATATTATTGCTATCTATATCACTATATAAAATTACCTATTTGAAGTGACTGCAAATGAGAAGGCTAATCTTTTCAGGACGTGGCTAAAGCCATGATGCAGGTAAGTTTCGATTTTCA